CTCATGTGTTTAACAACTCATAATGATCGTTATGAAACATAACAAGATAGAGAAAATTTCCGAAAATCAGAAATCAGTGAAAAAAACATGCACTGGCCAATTATCAGATTGGCGGTCGACTGCAATATAGCGGCGGTCGACCGCATCGTCGTGTTTCAAAGGCTGCCCAGGCCTCTTCCTGGCACGCGGTCGACTGTCGCTTATGCGTGGTCGACCGGCACACAAACAGAAGCATGTTCTGTGCAGGTTTTGAATCATTGTGTTCGTGCGTGTTTTTGTGAACAAAACTTATTTAATTCATATTGAAACATATGTAGAACATTATAAACATCAAATCAACTTCTCTGGGAAATATCAATATGTGAAACATAGATAATTGCACAATAAGTCATAAATAAACTCTTAAACATGTACGAAACATCAATACGAAGATTAAATCATTTAAACTTTGTTAAACAACATCATTAATCATTTTCAAATCTTAAAAATACTTTGAAAATTTCGTTCTTAATCCCTTTAACATGAAAAGACCTAGTCTTTATACATTTAATACAAAAGATCTGCTTTTTATACACAAAATAATCAATTAGGCTCTATAAATCACATTAAAAACTCTTTAAAATAGGGAGAGGGATTAGCAGAGATGAAACTCGCCTAAGACTTGATGCAAAACGTGAAAGATGGAATTCTAATGCAGATGTCCAAGCCACAAACCGAAATCTTGCTTTAAAAGCTCTTATTTCCTCTCAAAAATCAAATTAGGTTTTGTAAAATTGTTTGATGGCTGCTAGGGTTCAAAAGTATGAAAGAAAATTAAAAACCTCGTGAATATGTGATATATATAACAGAGAAAACGAATGTGGGTCGTAAATACCCGAAACCAAGTCAAAACAAGAAAAGCAATGTTCAGGTTTCATGGTCAAACGTGGCAGTCGATCGGACGGCGATCGACTGTGGCGGTCAACCGGGCTAGAAATTTTAAGTTTTCTCAAAATTTTAGTCTTTTGGCCATTGTGCATGTTTCGACACGTTTCTTTCTCATTCACTGACTTGTTTATACTCAATTTTAGTCTTTTGGCCATTGTGCATGTTTCGACACGTTTCTTTCTCATTCACTGACTTGTTTATACTCAAAATACTTGTTAGAGTACTCATACGTTTCTTTCTCATTCACTGACTTGTTTATACTCAAAATACTTGTTAGAGTACTCATACACCATATAATAATATTTATCTCAATAAATTTCACTTATTATAATTAATCACATAATAATTCAATTTATCAATCATTAACTCAAATTTTTCTAAGGTTTTACACTGAAGGGGCGTTGAAGTTGAGTCAAGTTGAATACATTGAGAAGGTATTTCAGAGGTTCAACATGCAGAATGCTAAGGTTATTAGCACGCCCCTTGGAAGTCAGTTCAAATTATCTGAAGAGCAATCACCCAAGACAGATGCAAAGAAGGATCATATGAGCAGAGTGTCATATTCATCAGCCATTAGTAGTCTTATGTACACGATGGTTTGCACGAGGCCGGATAATGCCCATGCAGTGAGAGTTGTGAGCAGGTTTGCAAACAATCCAGGAAAGCAGCATTGAGAGGCTGTGAAGTGGATATTACGCTAATTGAGATGGACTATGGACAAGCCAATATGTTTCAGGAGAAAGGATTTGGTACTGCGAGGATACGTGAATGCGTATTTCGCCGATGATCATGATACGAAGTGAAGTACCACGGGTATGTTTATACCTTAGCGTCCACAACAATAAGCTAGGTCTCACGTCTGTCGAAGATTGTAACATTGTACACAACTTAGGCAGAGTATGTCGCAGTGAATGAAGCCAGTAATGAAATGATTTGGTTGACCGGGTGCCTGGAAGAGTTAGATCTGAAGTAGGGGAACGAAGTTCTTTATTGTGATAGCCAGAACACTATACACCTTGCCAAGAATCCAGTATATCATGCCAGAACAAAGCACATCAACATACGATACCATTTCATACGCTCGCTGATTGAGGATGGAAAGTTACAGCTAAAGAAGATTTTGGGGAGTCAAAATCCTGCAGATATGTTGACGAAAGTAGTGACCATCGAGAAACTGGAGTTGTGCGTAACTTCAGTTGGCCTTCACGCGTAGGAGATGAAGGCGGAGCCACACCAAGGGGATCGGCGGAATCGCCGGGAAGATGATGATTGAAGAAAGGATTTTTTTTCCGGGAAGGAGAAGATGCTTGCAAAGAAGGGGAAAGTTCGGGTGAGCTCGTTGATAGTGCTTTGGTCTTCAAGTAGGAGATTGTTAGTCTAAATGTGTAGACCAAAAGCTGAATCAAAAAGACGAAGAAAACAGTCCAGACACTGGCCGGTCAACCGACAGAGGAGGTCCGGTCGACCGCGATGCCTGCAGGAAACTAAGAAGAAATCGACACTCTGGTCGGTCGACCGACGTGAGGAGGCCGGTCGACCGAAAATGTGCATGAGCAGACCCTGTAAATTGATGCTCTCGTCAGTCGACAGTGGGACTAAGCCCAGTCGACCGCTACGGGATTTTACTATTTCCTAATTTGTTTTGTATTCTGTTTGGACTGGGATTCCTATATATACCTAAACGATTTTAGGGTTTAGTAGTGCATCAAAAAGAGAGTTTTTGAGAGGATTCTTCAGAGAGATCTCAGAGAGATTAAACCCTAGTTTGTGAGCTTTGTAATATTTCTTCAAATTAATCGAAGAATTGTGTGGTGTGGCTCCTGAGGACATAGGCACGTTGCCGAACCTCGTTAAATCAGTGTGTTCTCTCTTGTTTACTTTCCTGCAAGTTTTGATCTTTTATTTGCGGCAATTTTCCTACTTTTCTACTCTCAAACACAAGATCCGAAAGGGCACATATTTGATTTGATTGTTTCGAATCCCCAACATTCCAATGGGTGGCTAACGTGGTTCGGCTGTATCGGTGGGATTTTGAAGTGCTACAGTTCGATTTCCGCGTCGTGTTTGCCCTGTGTTGTGTGGGATACCAGGAGGCGGGGCTCAACACCCAAGGTGTTCTTGGTCAGGTGGAGGTCTAAGAGAACTGCAGCGCCTAATTAAGACGAGGTCGTAAGATTCGAACTCGGGTTGCCACTAAGGTTGAAGCTCCCCCAAATATTAGAGTTCTTTGCAATTATTTGATTAAGGCTACAAGACAATCTCGAGTACGATGGGATGCCAGGAGGCTGATGAACAAGCCTGGGAGGATTAATTATAGTCGGAAGATACGATCCTAGGGTGCCCAGGAGGACTGGAACGAGGACGAAGGCCAAACTAATAGAGGGACTTGTGAGCAACTTCGAATGTACGAGGGACTAATATGAAATTATCGAAGAGTTGAGGGGAATGAGGGTGAAGGGAAGTTAGGGGAACCATTCACGTCCATTCACCTTGTTTGGGAACACTTAGGAGGTGAAGTTAATTCACCCTAATTCCCCTTGGTTCACCCCTAATAGTATAAAATTTGTTATCTCCCAAATTGGGGTGTAACCAAGAAGAAGGGAACTCTCTTTCCTTCCCTTCCCTTCCATTCTCTTAGTTTCCCTTAGGGCTTGTTTGGATTGAGGGGAATGAGGGTGAAGGGAAGTTAGGGGAACCATTCACCTCCATTCATCTTGTTTGGGAACACTTAGGAGGTAAAGTTATTTCACCTCCATTCACCTTGGTTCACCCCCTAATAGTATAAAAATTATTACCCCCCAAATTGGGGTGTAACCAAGGGGAAGGGAATTCTCTTCCCTTCCCTTCCATTCACTTCACTCTGTTTCCCTAAGGGCTTGTTTGGATTGAGGGGAATGAGGGTGAAGGGAAGTTAGTGGAACCATTCACCTTCATTCACCTTGTTTGGGAACACTTAGGAGGTGAAGTTAATTCACCTCCATTCACCTTGGTTCACCTCCTAATAGTATAAAAATTGTTACCCCCAAATTGGGGTGTAACCAAGGGAAAGGAAATTCCCTTCCCTTCACTCAGTTTCCCTTAACTTCCCTTTACCCCCTACGAATCCAAACAGACCCTTAACTTCCCTTCACCCCCTACGAATCTAAACAGACCCTTAACTTCCCTGTACCCCTACAAATCCAAACAGGTCCGAAGGTAAATGACACCAAGCGAGAGGAAAGAAACGTCAGCCTTTGGCCGTCTCTTCTAAACCCAGCTCCACGTGCTACACCACACTCCCCTCATTAGCATCTGTACTCACTTTTCTTTTTCTTTCCCCAGCTCTAAAATCCCACCACCCAAGAAAAAAAAAAGAAAAAATGTTGCC